AGAGGAAGGGATAGTCCATTCTCCACATTCACACAGTCTTTGGTCTTTTTGCCAAGGCTGCAGGCAGCTACATCAATGAGTCTCGGTTATTTTCCTGAAATTTCTCATGCAGCCACTTTTCCATTAGGATTTGGACAAAGACCAACTCAATGCTTGTAATTATTTCTTACATATGGCCTATTTCTTCACAGAACACTGAAGCTATTGATATGGGAAAGGATTCAGCCCTCAGTTGTCCAGAAGATAAATGTCTCCTTATGAGGGCTGCAGTCCAAAGCAGAAGGAGCACAGTAGGACTGTCAGCGCTGGGAGGAAAACCAGGGAAGTGCAAAGGATTAGAGGCAACCAGCAGAGGTTCTGCTTTTATTACACTGGGTTGAAACAGAGGTATTTAGAACAAAGTATCACAAAATTAAACATGTAGGAATGAGGAAAGTAAGATGGGTGAAGCAGAAGTACAGACATGAAGGGAGGGAAGTGAGATCAATGAGTGGGAACCAAGACCATCCTAAAGGGATGCTGAGGAAGAGCCACAGGAAGTTGGAGTCAGAAAAACAAAGAACAAGACTTGTGAGGTTTTCTCCCGTATATTTTCAGAAAAATATCAAATTAGTATCAAAAATGCATTTTTAAACCAATTATGTGCAACTACTAATGCAAGCACAAGAAAAAAATGCTGAGCCATTGAAAAGGGCTTTAATTAAAGCTTTGAAAAACACAGCACATTGACTACAACTTAAAGGAAGACATGAGCAAGAAAGAATGTATTTTAATGTATTTCCCTTATTAAGGCTGGTAGCTCAACTCTGAATGAGTTGCTTGCATTGTGACCTAGGAATAAATGAAATATGTATTATATGATCCAACTTTTACAAGATTCTATCAGACAGCTGTTACTTCATCAGATGAAGTTGTGTTACTCTACAATTTGAAACTAAATACAGCTTCCTGTGGTATGAGTCAAAAATCACAGCTACCTTCAAATCATACTGTTCTGCAGCAAGATCCCAAATCAGCTTCCTGAGCAAACTGAAATAATCAGAACCAGAGCTCTCTAATACAAAGGAACACTTCCATGCTGTTAGCATCCCCATTTTTGTGTACTGTAGGGACAATATTGCACCTTTCCCAGACTTAAAAGCCACTTTCCTCCCCTGGTGTGAACCAAAAGAGCAGAGCAGGGCTTGGTGCTGCTGTGGATTCAGCTGTGAAGGGGTTCCAGAGGAAGGGCTTTGTCTCACTGCAGGAACAGCTCTGGAGCACTGCAGAAGCCTCGTGCAGTGGCTCTCATGCCCTAGCCTGCAGGACTTCCAGTGTTACTATAGAAATTACACAACTTTGTGCTAGAGCTGGATCTGATTTCGGGGTCAGCAATAACACAAAGTCTTCAAAAGCCAAGCACAATGAGTGCAATGACTATTTTTGGGAGAACAGTTCAATGCAGTTTGTGATAGATCTCCCACCACCTTGAGAGTTTCTCCCTACAGAAGAAGTGAGCACAGGACACTTTAAATTTTACAGAATGACACTTAAATTAACTGTAACTTCAGAAACATTTTAAGTTACCATGTCAATCTTTTTTAAGTTAAGAACAACTGGTTTTAGTTCTCAACAGCTATCCAAAGTTGAATGATATTCCGAACAACAAATATTATTTGTAAATCAAAGGATTGCTACCAAGTATAAAAATTAGACCTCTATCATATAAAAGCAACTCAGAAGACTTGCCAAACTGTGAGGCTATTTACAAAATGTTTATATGTTTTAACTGGTAGAAAACATAAAAGCATGAAGTCACAGGCCACAACATAGCTTAAATTTATGGTTGAGCTGCTCTCCCTCCCTAATAAAAGTACTAATTTTGACATTGCATTCCACTGTGTACCTTTAATTTACAACAGTGACTATCAATATTGCTACATAAAAACATATTAGTGCATAAGACTTCACTGTCTGAATCTTTCAGCACTATATTATTGCCAAAAAGCACAGCAAAAATAAAAAATATTATTCATAACTAAAAGCAACAATAAAATATATGGGCTATACTTCTTTGAACTATTTTATGTAGTTGGACATTTTTTTTTCCATCATAAACTATCATGCTATCTAGAGCTTTCCTTTCTTCTGAAGAGAGAGTTCAGAAACATACCTGAGGGAGTGTTACAGTAATATCTGCTGAGCACTAAGCTAGCCAAAGACGAGGACACACCTGCTGAAATTAGTCAATCCAAAGAGTCAGGGCAAGGGCAATGAAATTCAGTCAAACATTCTGCATTCAGAAGTTTAAAATATGTTGAAAACTACATTGGGAAAAACATAACCAATTAGAGGAATAACTGAGATTTCACTTGATCCAAGCATTTCAAACAAGTCAGGAATAGCCACAGTGTAAGCAGGTATGTTAACAGAATGGAGAGACTGCCTCAGGGATCAACACTATAATTGTTAATCGGAAGGACTGTGATTGATTAGAAATTTAACTATAGTATAGAAAGTCAGAAAGGGAAGTAAAGCAGGGGTTTTGCTTTAAGGTTTTTGCATTTTCTCATATTACAAAGTACAGCAAAATGAGCATTCTTCTTGCAGACAGATTTAACAGCCTGGAGGCATTTTGACTTCAAAATCACCCAAGCCCTTGTGAAACAGAAGCAGTACCAGGTGGGTGTTCTGTTCCAACTCCACCGTAGTGAGCACTAAAACTTCCATTGTGGTGCAACTATTCAATTAAATGTTGTTGTGAGACCATGGAAAGAGGCTCCACTGGGACTCTGCTCTCAATCATAAAGATATAATGGCAGGAATGCAGAAAATTAAAAGCTTTTGACTTTGCACTATGTCCTGCTTCCTCTAATTGTGGATACTTGATGACCAGCTTACACTCAGTCATTGCTTCCCTGCACGCATTTGTACCTTACTCTTCATCATATTCTGCACACCCAACAACATTTCCATTTTTTGTTTGCAGAAGAAAGTGCCTTGTATTAAAAAGAAACAAAACAACGAAGAGAAGAGAAGAGAAGAGAAGAGAAGAGAAGAGAAGAGAAGAGAAGAGAAGAGAAGAGAAGAGAAGAGAAGAGAAGAGAAGAGAAGAGAAGAGAGAAGAGAAGAGAAACAATAGTGAGGAAAACTACATCTCTGTTCAATCTTTTCAATGTTACAGTATGTGGTTCTGTATTTAGATACATATTTAGATACACATCTAACTTAAAGAAGATTTATCTTTCCTTAAAACCCAAAGTCTTCATCTCAGCTCAGCTGAGGGAGAACTGCACTCTGAAAAATTGTCTCTGTCAATTACTAAGAAAGTCTGCATCATTAAGACACACCAAGCTCTTATTATTTAGGGCCATGTAATAAGGTATGGTGAACTGGGGTCTCAGTGCTTACCTGTTCACTTGAGTAGACTTTGTCACAGTACTTAATGTTTATTAGTACTGTATGCTACTGCATGAATTTGGGAGTGAACATACTAAGCAAAATGTCAAAAGTGAATCTCAGGTTCAAACAAATCCTGAGGTTAAGGTTTAACTGGATGAAAACAGATATGAGACAATGTCTGTGAAGTGGGGGGAAAAAAAATCATATGAATCTTACCAAACCTTCATCCATCCACCAGCTAAAATGATTCATTCCTGATCACAGAACATGGGGAAATTTTTCAGCTTTGTCTTGGATTGCCTTAATTTCCAAGAAAGGGGAATCAGAATCAGAATTTCAAGTAGTACCAGAGTAATGAGAAACATGCAACCTCGCTCTAAGGGATCCTTTAACAACTACAGAAGTCTTAGCACACAGCTGCTGGTGTCCAAAGAGTCCCATGAAGAGAGGGCACTGAGTTCATATCCCTCCTCTCAAGGAAGGAGGTTTCTCAGAAGTTTACTCAGCACATAAAAAGTAAGGTGTCTGTCAGTAGGTCCTCCAAAGAAGGTAAAAAGTGCACAGCAGGAAAAGAAGTTTAGTATAGCCTTTCTGCACTGCAGCTCTACTGGATACAGAAACACTGAGTAAAGATATCCTCAGAATGAGAACCATTCCAGCCATGGAAGGAAAAAGAGTACTAGAATACCATGTAAGACAAATTGTAAAATAAGTTGCAACTGAATCCCCAGCAAAAATGGCAGCTAAGTCACTTTCTTAGTTATCCCCCACCTTGCTGTCAACTAAATTGAAGGTCTACTCAAAAAAGCCTGTCCTATATAATCAGTCAATAAACAGTTACTGCTGTCCAAAACATATATTCAAGTCTATACATATATTTTGCAGGCCCAAACTTATATTTACAAACATGTGTTTTCATGTGGTGTGAACTTGCACAGTGTAACTAACTTCACTGGATCAGCACCCAATTATGGCAGCTGAGAATCCATCCCTGTGACTTAAAAAACAGATAGAGAGGCTTTACTCTCAGCTACTTGCCTATCACTTGCAGTGGAAATATGGGTGTTCCTACTGTATCATTACTAATTCATATTACACTGGTTTTTCTGTCCCTTCCCTTTTAGACCACCTTATCAGTATTTTTCTATCTTGAAGACCTTGCTGGATGACAGAGAAGCCAGAAGGATCCCTGAGGCAAAAGCAGACTCCAAACATTATTCTCAAAATGTGTGCCTGCACAGAGATCATGAAGCCTCTCTCTCTCTGAGCTCATGGAAAAGAGGAATATCAAACAGAAGGCACAGCTTGAGTTTCAACTAAGCGGTCCCCCCACTGTCACTTCAAATTAATGAGTTACAGTGTTTGTGCAAGAAAGTACACTATCACTACATCTGTGTGATCCCAGTGGCAATAAACCCCATCACTGAAATTCCTAAAGGAAAATAATCACTTTAAATACTATGCAGTCGATTTGGTAAAAAAATACAGAACACAAATCATACAAAAAAGCTGTGATGCCAAGAAGTAAAAACCATCAGCTCAAAGGTCTCTGCCAACTGCAAAGGATATGCACAAATGCAAGAAATGATCACACCTCACCCCGTAGCTCAGGCACTTACCTGCCCCAGATCCAGGGTGACATTGACTTCATTGTACTTCAAGCCCACGGAAAGAGGGGGACTTTGCCACCAGCGCTCAGTGCCATCAATGGCATTGGTTATCGGGTGAGCTTTGCTGGGATCAGCAGCATTGCAGTAATCACAGAACTGGCCCTGAAACACAATCAATCAAAAACATGGTCTCAGACAACATCTTATGCATTGACGACACATGTGGTTGTTATTGGAGATTAGAGTGTTGACTAAAAATATGGGTAAATTTTGTTCCTTTATATACCACAATTTTTAATGCATAAATTATTCCCCTGTTAATTAAATTACACACTGAAACACATTAACTTTTATATTACAAACTAAAACTTCAGAAATCTCAATAAGGGAATGACGGTAAATATTAACTTATTGACACTTGGGTGAAATTAGCTATATTACTTCTACAGTGGTGTCTGTAGGAAATCTGCAAAAAATCAGTGAAATAAAGATTCTTAGAACTGGATTAGGAACAACAAACAAATTATCCTCAATTCTTCTAAAACACCATGAAATATCCACATACAACATGCACATAGCCTGGTATAAATAGAATCATTACAAAAAAGCTCTGTTACTTGGCTATAGGTTTGGTATTCAAATTTTATAACACTGTTTTCATTTTTTTTCATGCCATTATAATACATCCTGAATCAGAGTTTTCTAAACAACACGTACTCATGGAAAAGGCAACAGACTGTTCCCTTTAAGCTTCCCTTTAAAGAATGCCATTGTATCTTCATTTCAAGAAGTTACTGCCCAATTTCCACTCCACAACTAAAGCCACAATCCAGAGATGCCCTTTGAGAGTCTCTTAAGCTCTTTGTACAATAAAGATGAATAAACTTGAAGAAAATTGTCTTTTGATTTCATATCTTGGCTTGCCCCACAAGCTATTTTTATTTCCAAGAAAACACATTTTACAGTCTAAGATTAGTGCTGAACTGCTGAAATTAGTTATTAAGGGGTCTTTTTAGTGTCTCATTCACTTCATATTCCAATCTCTAGGTGGTGATGATAAGTAAAAATGCTAAATTGTGCCAGCTACAGATCTTTATAGAAAAATAACATTTTCATTGAATGGCAGTACACCTGCCATGGCTACTTCAGCAGGACAGTTCCTTAATCCATCAGTCTGTGAGTTGCTGACACTGTGTTGGACTCCTGTTTAAAATAAAGGGAATGGCACATATGTTACCTTATCAACTGCATGTGACAAATCTTTTGTGGTTTCCACAATCCACGCTGCCTGGCATGAAGCACATTCCTACCTTTTAAGATTTAACAGACTCCTATATAAGTGCCATTGTTTTGTTTGTTGCTGCTGTCAGACTAACCAGTGTAAAGTAACTGGAGCAATCATACCTATCTGCTTCTTACAGAGGAGTAATAGAAGAGCTCTCACACTCTTGCTGGGTGCAGTCTTGTAAACTTGGTGAGTTTAAGATGTTCAGCAGAATTTATTTAACATCTACCATAGTTACTTTTCCAACAGGATTGGAAAACTCCTCATCAGTCTCATGTGATACGAATATACCATCCTGTGCCTTTCAACTATGAAACCAAGGTGTTCACTGAATTGAATATCTCTGCATCAAGAGCAATAATTTCAGCATCTGCATCTAGCAATAGTTCCACCTTCATCCTCCTCTTCCAGAAAGCCCAGAATATGATGTGGTTTCCAGAAGACATGGCTATCATTAACTGTTCTGATTCAGCACAGCCAATGCCAATCTGGCTGGGGGTTAACTCTTGACAGTTCAAAGAGACTAAATACTCACATACACAAGTTGGTTAACTACAGCTGGGGTCATGTTATAACACGATTCTCCTCCAGCTCTGTTAGAGAAGATGGTTTGGCTGACTTTAATACAAACTACAATATGCCAGGACTCTGATTCAGTTGGTTTGCTGCAGCAGATACACATCAGCCCATGCTAGCTACAGGCAATGCTGCCAGTTTCTGCAGTGAGGACAAAGAACATCATGTCACTATCTGCAAAAATCCATACCCTGAGAAATCAATCTGCACTGGCAACTGCAGTTACTACCACATCAGAGCATCTTCCCTGACAAATGCATACCTGAGTTCTGACATATATGTTACAACAGGGCAAGCTTTCCTAAATAGCTTTATAATGGGCTTGAAACACAGTCCTCAGAACTAAATTACATTCACAATGATCAGGCTGGAAGTACACAGGAAACAGTTGCTGTTACAGCAGTTTCAGCTCTGATCTGGAAACAACCTCAAAGAAAGGTTGAATGAGAAGAAAACAATGGGGAGTATTAAACACAAGAGTTTAATTTACATGCGCTTATGTGATTTCACTATACCAGAGCACTTGATCTGAACTCAAGATACCATCTTTCTCTTTTTGGGCACATAATTCAAAGAATTTCATTGCAACAGCTGGAGTTTCAGTTATTTAAACTACATTCCAGCAGCCCTGCCAACTAGGCAGCAAAACAAAAATGAAAGAAAAAAAATTATTGGACAGAGCAGCCTTCCTTCCTTCCCACTGGCAGCACCTCAGGCACATCGTGCTCAGCCTGGCTGCTACAGGACACGTCTCCATTCCAGTAGATTCAGCCTTGAAACTTGGTTTGATTTTGGCTGCAGTTCATCTGACAGGCAGGTGTGCATTTGCTGGTGACCTTGTTACCCTCCTTTCCCCTGCTTCTCCAGAGCAAAGGAGAGACCTGGAACCGCATGAAAGAGTTTGCTGAAATAAGCTAGTGCAGACCAGGGACACACAGGGATGAAAATGTCTCGCCTCTAAGTTATAGAAAGCGACAACAATGAGGGATCTGTTCACTATTTCATACCTAGCAGCTCTGTGCCCACTGGTAGGGCAGGACAGGTATGCAGTTAGACTTTAACTCACGCCTGCACACCATTGTGGACAGACTGGCAGGCAAAACCAGGCATGCCACTTATCTATCAGCTGCTGAAATATTTTATGCTGTTGTGCATTTCTTCACTCAACACTGCTCTTATTAAGTCATTGTCCCACATGCCAGTGTGCTACATAAGGGAAACCCACCTCTTTCCACAGCATATGTCAAGCACTGCCTGAAGAGCCTTGGCCGAGCTGCCCACAAAGGGACTGGCCACCCCACTGACAGCCTTAAAACAACATCTAAATGCTCTTTCTGGATTTGCAGGCTATTACAGGCTTCATTAAAAGATGTATCACTAAATGACAAGCTGAACAAGAACAACCAATGGCAGAGCAATAGAAATGATGTCGGGGCTGCTCGTCCTCTTTGCCTTATTTTCAGATAGCACTGGCAACAGAGCTGTCTGCTCCCTTTGCCAGAATGAGGATCACATTCTGCACCTCCTTTCCAATTTCCCTATTGCAACTCCTACAATCCAGCATTGTAGAGAGTCCAAAAGTGTGTGTGACTCAAGTGTGTGGTATCACTTGAACTTGAACCAGCACAATACAGCGGCCATTACACCTATCACTTTGTAAAAGCCACATGACCTTTCCTCACACTTTTACGAAACAACACTTGAATACTTCTGCTGATTTTATATTCTTCTATGGAAGCCCATGTTCTGTAAAAGTTTAATGCAATTCTTTCCAATTTTCCATGAAAGAAGAAATTCTCTTATTTACATTTGAACTTGAGAGGTGAAGTGGCCTGAGAACATACACATTGTGCATTTTCCTGGTCTGGATTTCCCTGGCCTTTTGAAAGACTTTCCAGCCTTTCTTGAACCATAACAACTACTGGTAAACCACAGAAGCATTCATGTTATGTACCTCAATGGGGCTTTGTTAAAACTGGAAAGAGACGCTGTGGTATCTGTGCTTACACAAGCGCTCTGAGAGGCACAACACGCTTCCTCGTGCCAGGGCTGAGCTATCAGTAGTCCTTCTGGGAACTTTAATCGGGCAGGAACCATAGCAGCCCTCTAACCTAGGACCTGCAAGTCAAACATTTAAGAAGAATTCCCCCCTTTCTAGTGTCTGTCTTCCTTTACATGGCAAACCCTCATTTCCAGTTGAGTGTTAGTATATAAAGGGAACAACTACAAAAACCATCAGTGGCAACATGCAGGCTTCGTTCCGCTTGCTTGACAAGTTTATCTGATGTTTGCTTTGGCTGATTTTTATTACCCTGTGATTTCTGATATTTCAAGGAATGTCAGCTTGAGATTTCACTGCAGCAGTGGGCTGTAGCAAGCTGCTGAGAGATTGCTGGGTTTACAATTTACCTGGTGACACAGCTGTTTCAGGCAACTTTAAACATGGGTATTGCACTTGGTATGGAAGGATGGGTGCCTAAACCTCCAAGGTGTGTTAGAAAGAGCAAACCAAGCAGTTTCCCGCTCATCACAACCTTTTTTTGTAAACTCAGTTTAGGCATAATACCTGTCTCCCAGTTTCCCTTTTACTAGAACTGTATACTACTCAGCCTGTAAGCATCTCCAAAGTACTTTGAGCTTTTTTTATGACCGAAAACACTACAGAGATAAAAGGTAATATAAAGAGAGAGAGAGAGAGATAAGATTTCATTGTGAGGCAGGTAGTTATGGCAGAGGGAAGTCCAGAGCAAAGCACACAGCTGGCTGTGGCTGCCCAATGAACTGTGAGAGCAGGTTGCATGACGGTGCACGCTCCCTTCTGGCACATGGCAAGGAATACACATGCTTCACCTTCTTAGTCCTCTCCCCCTCTCTTGAGCCTATTCTCATTTAAAAAATTAGAAGAACAACTCTGTAATCCACTGCAACCCCTTCTGAAACCGTATCTTAAGGGGTATTCTCACCATTAAACATGCAAACATCTCGTAAGACTTTGAAACACTAGCTCTTCTTCCAAGATGCTAAAAATTTACTTGTATGTTTTCTGTATTGCCTAAAGTCAGATGGAGGACCTTTAAGCTTTCACAATCCCTTTCAAATTGCAATTTCTTCCTGGTTCTCCTCCCACCAAGAGAGAATACAATTAAAATAATTTTGGAAGGCCCGAGGCTTCAGGAAAGTCCCCTTCTTTTAACAAAGCTCTGATCAGATACCAAGCATCTATCACAGTACAACGGTTTGGTGCATTTTTTACTCCTTCCCTATCCTCTAACGAATGTGTAAATACATGTTTCTTCCAAAGGAAAGATATATTTCCACTAATCCTTTTTCAGAAGTTTTGCAGTTTATTGTTATCTTTCTTGTGACTGGCACAAAACCTGCGCAGTAATCTCATGCTATGCTAGGAAAGAACAGCATGATCCTTTCTGTGCTAACACTCCCTGTAAGAGTCCCAAGGAGTCTCCGGCTTCCTCCCACAGGCAATGCAAGGCACAAACGATAAGCCTCACATTTACTGCTTCTAAAATGCCACAAAATACTTGACTAAAGCCAGCACTCTTTTCCCTCCGCCTGCAGAAAGGTTCCCGCTGTCCAGCCAGCACCGCCAGTGAAGTCCCGTCACATCCATTCCCCCAGGCTCGCTGGCTTACCCCCAGCAGTGTCTCGCTGCTCTCCGCAGACTACGGGACACGCTCTGAGGCCACAAAACACCTCCCTGAGGCACTTGCAGGTGCCCGAGCAGCTGACACACGCCCGGCAGCAGCCGCAGCCCCGTGCCGCGGCGAGGCGGTGTGTGGGTGTGTGGCCCCAGGAGGTGCGGGGACAGCCGAGGGCAGGTGCGGAGACAGCCGAGGGCAGGTGCGGGGACACCGGAGGGCAGGTGCGGGGACAGCCGAGGGCAGGTGCGGAGACAGCCGAGGGCAGGTGCGGGGACAGC